ACACTGAAATACAATGCTTGTTTCTTGGAAAAGGGATATTATCTTTCGTCCACAAAAGTACATGAATCGGAGTATAAACAAAAGGGAAACTTTAGTGGATTTCCTGTCAGATATTTAGTGGATATCCTGTAAGATATTTTGCCAGGTAAATAGATGCAGAAAAATCTTCAGGCCCTGTGTATCTTGAATAAGAGATCGCTGCATGTCATTGTGCCTTACTAGCTGTCCCAAGGTTGATATGTATTGCCCTTTTAAATGACTAAGCCAAGGATCTTGGCCAGATATTACATTTGTTAGTGAAGTAAGTGATGAACATGGGCCTCCTCTTCCTCACTGTGCCAGCAAGAGAGCAAAACAGGAGTAGGAGATTCCTCAGAAGCAGATACTCTCTAATGGTAATTCTACACAGATGTCACACTATTACTTACATTCAATTGCCTTGCGTACACCATCAAAGTGGCTCCATTGGTGTAACCTCGCACAGAGATTTCTATCAAAAACTAGCTCTAGAATTCAATGATGGTTTTTTCTAAGTTGCAGCCCTCGTGTCTACTCCAAATCTTTATAACTAGGGTAGCAAACAGGGTGCAGCCAGGCGCTCATCTGTGTTCTGGAGACCAGCTGCAGCACCCTCTAGAAAGTACGCCCTACCTAGCCATTAATACAAATGAGGGCTACTTAGGAAACAGCATCTTAGTCAGACTTAGACTCACTACCTCTAAACATCCTCAACAGTTTTTGGCAGTGTTTCTCAACTTTGGCTGTTTAAAGACCCGTGGACTTCAACTCCCAGAATTCCCCAGCCAGTTGGAAGTCCTCAGTTCTTAGAGTGGCCAAGTTAAGAAACATTGGTGTATGGAATTCAGCAGAGCAAAGACTGTCTGCTTTGATAAACAGTTTCAACTTGAGCTGTAGTGGGGAAAAAAGGGTCAGAATATGAAAATGGTTTTAGAAAAAAATATTTTAGAACCAGTATCACCGAAGCCTACAGCTGCGTTACAGGCTGAAACTCTGGAGATTGCTAATGAGTAAATATGTTATAGGTCTATTGCAAATGCCTTTAACTTCAATTCTGACGAATTTCAAAAGCCAAAGCAAGGGTAGAGAATTCAGAGTCTAGGTCTATGTCACCACAACACACCCCCCCCATCCATTCTTCACCCCAGCATTCCATGTTGGACAGGGGGAAAAAATTACAGGTTTCTTGCTCAATTTAATCACAGAAGCAGAATTAGCTATAAATTTCATATTTTGCATAATGTGAATGCTAAATTGAGGTCTAACATGCACAGAACGTAGTCACCCGCAGTAATGCCAACCAAGATACTTCTTTTTGTCCAATACTACAAGCAACTGCCAGACCCAGATATGAGTCGGTAATTACTTGCTATGGCTTGCTACCCAGTGATAACAACCCCCTGAGTTCCAAGGCTAATACTTCCCAGTTCCTCAGGTTTTTCACTACAAGACCATTAAAAATGGCAGATAATTACACTATTTTCTAATGCAATGAACTCTACAGATTAACCTGACTGAGAAAGGGAAGACTTTCTGACATCACCCCACTTAGTTTAAAAAAGGGTCACCTTTCGTAAACTGGGGTCTTTGGGGAAAGAGCACTGGGGAGAATATAATCTCCTTCCAGTGACCAGAACATTGCCCCCATCACCACCATCACCCCAAAAACCTCAGGGTTCTTTTGCAGGCAGACTCCTGAAGAGAATCGCAGTTTCGTATAAATGGGGTTCAGTGCCCTACTGTGAACTTGATAGTGCAGTTCAAAATATAATTTCAGAAGAAGTCAATCTTCTTGCTCTTTTTATCCAGTTTTTTGGATGTGGATAAATGTATGGCCTATTCAGTCGGGCAATACAAATGATATCTGCAGTATTTAGTCTCCCAGCTTAACTATCTGCAGAGGAAGCCTCTAGCACAGGAGTGTCCAACCTTGGGAACTTTAAGGCCTGTGGACTTCAGCTCCCAGAATTCCTCAGCCAGAATGGCTGGCTGGGAAATTTTGGGAGTTGAAGGCCACAAGTTTTAAAAGTTGCTAAAGTTGGACGCCCCTGTGCTAGCATAAAGGGAAGTTCATAAGTTCAAAAGCAACCAGCTGTGCATCTGGCTTATGACAGTTCTCATCATATGAATAGCCAAAAATGAACTGAATGTTAACATTTTTTTTTAAACAAAACATCAATGGTCAAAATCCAATCTAGTGTGACATCAGGATTGGATGAAAGCAGAGTTGAAAACTGGCAAAGAGCGTGATACCGCATCTCCTTTTTGTACACAGCATTTAAAAAAGCACAAATAGGGAACCAATCAGTGCTATGAGTCGAACAGAGAAAGTTGGAGAACATGGTGAATTTGATGTTATTGGCAAACCAGGATGATCCAGATTTAGCAGCTCAATCCAATGCAAAAAGAGGACATTTGTACAGAATGCCATTACATTACTCTCCCTTTCATGCTGTTTTTATCCTACTATAATGTACCTAATTAAAAGATTAAATATTTGATGTAGCTTGGCTTCTCCCAATACTGACAGTTTTTGCCCATAGTTATGTGCCAATTCTGTATAATTGTAGAAAGCTGACAGAATGTATTAGAGGCAGACCTCAGCTTCCAAAGCATTTGCTTACGGTTTTTCAAAACAAAAACGGAAATTGTTGAAGAAAATCCAAGCGATAGGCATGAAGGCTCTGCCTTGCTGTAGCCTTTTCTCTTTATATTATACCTAGCAGAATGACAACTTAAGCACTTTTGAATTGCCTAAGTTACACAACCTGCACATTTCCAAGTTAAATGCAGCTTTTTCCTAACTTACTGCTATCCAAAAGTCTGTAACAGTCGCAACACAGGAGACAAAAGGTTAAGGAAGTAGGTTTAGGTTTTAAGACTGACTCTCTTTCAACAACACACACAAAAATATGAATCTTCAGTGGAATTCCTTTGCTGTCTCTCTCCCCCGATCCGTTTAATGCTTCTTTCTAAGATACCAACTCCATGGATAGTGAACAGTACTACCATGGCATCAACATTGGAATGGAGAGGAAGAGAAGAAATACGATAGAATTTCAATGGCTGGCCCTTTGCATCCAACCAGTCCGTCAACCCTTACTAGGGTATTTTATACTGTAGGACCACCGATAAAATAATAGTATATTATTACACAGTTCTATCTTTCCATAAATCTTTATAATAAAATATCTTATTGACATGAACATTCCCCATTACAGCATGTGTAAACACACACACATACGCATCGATCATAAATAAAATGTTGATTTGGGATGGCATCGCAAATTACCATAAGGGCATTTTGCTAAGTAAATGGAGAGGAAAGAACCTCAGCTTGCTATAGTTATAAAATCCAGAATACTATTATTCTGGAGTGACGTTCAATAGTCACAATTTGATGGAGAACTGTAGCTTCACACGGGATGGTGGTCTGAATGCTATTCTGTCTAAGCCATTCTCCCTCTTTAATGTACAGAAGGTGGTAATGTCTCCTTTCCAATGAGAAAACAAAAGGACTTTCTTTTGCTTTCCAACAATACAGATATCAGAAAGGAGGGGGGAAACCCCCACACTCTGCAATTTCTATAAAAAGGAAGGCCCAAGAGGGAATAGCAGAATCAAGGGATGAAAAAAAATCTTGCTTTCAAAGCATAAAAGCTACCAACTCAGGTCAAAAGTTTACAAGTAATAAGAATCAGCCGGCTTCACGGACATTTAAATGTACATGTGTAAAATGGATGGATTGAACTGCTTCCAGCTTGTCAAACTGACACAGAGGAAGGAAGGGCAGCGCCTGCCCGATTTACAAAGTAAACAAGTTTAATGCACATTTCCAAGCAGAACCGTACAAGAGACTGACAGTCTATGAAAACAGGAGGGAACATTTAATATGGTCTTCGCTGCAGTCTCTCAAAGCTCTGATTACAGAAGAATTGCTTTGAAGTTAGATAACAGAAGCTCATCCCAATGGAGCTGCACAAATCATGGACCATATTATAAAGGGACTAGTCCACAATAATGAGTCATGCACAAAAATGACCAACCAATGGGAGGACCACGGATGGTTTTGCATGCTTCTGTTGGCTTAAAAATTGATTTAAAAATGAACTAAGCTGTATTTAGATTTTGGTTTCCATCCAGGTATCACAATACAAAATTTGGAATTCAGGTTAAAATTGGCTATGAAAGGCTTCTAGTTGGTAAGAACTAGTGTCTATCCCTCAGCTAATCCTACCACAAGTTTATTCTAAGGATAAAATTATGGATGCAGGAATGAGAGGGAGAAGCATTTAAGCCACCTTAAGTGCAATTCATAATAATAATGAACCGAACATACTGTATACCAGCACTGCAAGGGATTCATGATCTTTTAGCAAACTGTTGAATGAAAGGAGTTTGCTTCGGCAACCAACCAGGCAATAATTTCTATCAAACAGATCCATCATTTGTTCTGCTTAGCTACCCAACTCACTGGCTGCATGTCAAAGTGCTATCCATTTAACTTCCAATGTGCCCTGTGCAGAAATAGTTTATCTATTCCACCTTGGAGAACTGGCAAACCAGGAGGGTTATCGAAAGGAATGCAGTTTTGTAGTGTGGCCTTATTACTGTGCTTTGGAAGCTGTGTGTGTTATGTCTCTCTGTGTGCGTGGGAGAGGGAAGGAGACAGTGCACACACACACATACATTAAGCACCTGAGTATCTCCTTCAGCTATCTGAAATCCAGAATGCTGCTGGACATCCTGCAGGCCCATATCTGGTAGAACGTGCCTTGAACAACCCTTTCCTTCCAAAAGCCCCCCCTCCCACCAGGAAGAAAGAAATGACAGACCACCCAGGTGAAGAGACAGCAGTGCAGCCATTTGTAATTGGAGTCCAACTGCCACAGGAACAAGAGCCGCACAGAATCTTTTTCACACGACGTACCTTACACTTATGCAGGCCGGAAGCCTGAATTCCCTGGCTGAGTGGCGGTAATGACCTCCGAGCTTCGAAGACGGCCTGTCATGCTACATTCACAAGTATACTGAAGCAGCTGGGAGATAACAGAGGGAAACTGCACACCTGCTTGATGTCACGCCTCTTGGGAGCCTCCTGTCATCTGCGCCGAATCCTGGTGCTTATCTCACAGATCTGGACCTGCTAACCTGGGCTAGAGAAGTGATCTGACACACTTCGAAACACCAAATCTCAACCAATGAACCCAAATGAAACACCCCGTCAGAAAGTCCCCTGGTTGTGTTACGTGGGGCGGGTGCGCAGTCTGGAGCAGGCCTTCTTGGCGCAGAGAGGCTACTTGGCTTTGGATTCCACGTAGATTTTGTCTCCATCCTGGATGCCGTAGGAATGCAGGGCCCTGGAGTTGTACTTCAGCTCTTCGGGGCCAAAAGGATCTTCCTTATCGAAGTAGGTGACCAGCATGCTGCTGATGGGCAGCTGCACCACCGTTTTCAATTGTTTCTTGAGTTCCGCCACCGTCTGATCTAAGCGGATGTTCATCTCCTTCACTTGGTTTTTGAAGTGAACTTCGACCTTGGCGCTGCTCTGAGGCGTCAGGTCGACCACCGCCAGCTTTTCCAGCTTCCCGTATTTTGTCACTAGTTCATGATACCTACGGAAATGGGGTGGAGAGACAACAGGCAAAAGGTGCTGAATAGACCTACTACTTTATTAAAATATATATTTCTGGCATTTTGTGCCACCCTTCTAAAGCCAACTAACAATGTCCTATACACCTGGGAAAAAAATAGAGAAACTCAACTGCTTTAAGACTATTTAGCAACCGGAAGATCAATTTTGCTCTTTGGGGGCTGTACGAGCTAAGACCTAAAATGTTCCTTCAGGCAAATGATATCTACTTGCAGCCAGAAAATTAACAGCGAAGGGGGCTGAATGCACCACTTAGTTTCAGGACCCAGGTACAATGTAGAAAACGCAACGGTCAGCTATTATAAACTAAAAAGGGCCTCACTGGAGATTAAAGGATGAACTGAGAGGTGGTTTACGTTAAGGGTCCTGGATCCACACTATTTTGAGTTTTTGAAGAAGTCAATATTGGACATCATAATCAGCTGAAAGCCAGCGGCCTGTGCCATCTCCAATTCTGGCCCATAATGGTTTGACTCAGGACATGGCACCATCTGTATTTCCCCAAACCTGGCAAAGGTGTCCGATCACAGGCCCAATCAGCTAGTATTCTCAACCCCCAAATGAAGAGAAAGTCGAATGTGTAGACCACATACATTTAAGGACAGTGCAGTTGCAATTCCAAATTCTCACAATGTACATGAACTATTGTTGTAGCCCTGTAATAAACCTCTGTAGACGTTTTCAACACGGTCCTGCTGAATGCTGCAGAGATAAATGCCCCATCCTCAGGAGCTAGGGGAAAAGAAAAAAAAAGACCACCACCCCCCATTTCTCTTTTGCTAGTAGTATTCATTCATTGGCCAAGTGAATCCTGCTGTCATAGCTTGTAGGAATAGAGTCAAGCTGAAATTTTTACAGCTATTAATTACATAACTTTGGTTCGGCTTCTGCCTTTCTGCTGCTTCCAGCACATAGGTCTGAATTTCGTTCGTTTTGGCATTTGCAAATGGAGGAATGGGAGAAAAAAAAAGAATAAGTGGGGCACCATTGTCTGGATGGCCACGAACCCGTTCAACAAGTTTCTTCACCCTCCGAGATAAACATCCTCTTGTTTATGCTCCTGGTTAGAGATTTCTGTCTTTGCTCCTTCTCTCTGCTCTCCCCCTCCCCCCCAAGCATTTTTCAGATATCTCTCATTAATAAAGAGGAAGGGGCATCTCTTCTGCTGGGCTGGGAAAGTGGCAAAAAGTCAACCCAAAGTCCAAGGTAGCTGAAAAGATAAAAACAAAGAGTAGTTAGGATTGGGGGGGGGGGTAACATTTCAGAGTCTCTAAGGGATGCCCGGGACTGAAAGCCCCTTTTGTTTCCTTCTTGGCTCAGGCCAAAACCGTGATCGCTGCTGTGTCATTGCTCCTGTCAGGGGATGATGGGGCCTGGCAACTGGGGAGGGAGGCCCCCTCAGGGGACTAGTGTTAAAGGTAAGGATATTCCATCAACAGCAGAGCCTCTGTCTGTCTGCAATATGAGGTGGCTGGTGCAGCGCACTACGGTTTCGCCCAGCATCGGACAAAACTAGCTTTCACAGAGGCCAAGTGTTTGGAGAAGAGGTTGCTGTGCTTGGCCTTGCAATTAGCACGGAGAGAAAACTTGGGTCCGTTTGGGCTAACGATGATTTAGGAGATAAGGAAGACACATTCTCTGAACACCGTGATGGCCGACAGCAGTTAAATCAATAGTGGAAAGCGAAAGGCGGCTTTTCAGGATGGGTTTCAACACCTCCATTCATTCCGTCACTTCTTGTATAGTGGGATCCATGGCTTGTTCAGCAGAGCTCTGAAAAAGCCTTGTTCTTCCGTTAAGGTGACTGCAGACACTGCTTCCGGACAGGTAGAAATGCCAGTGTCATCAAAACAAAAGTGTGTTGGAGATTCCACAACTCTTTTCTCTCCTGTTCCCGCCTAAGGCCAAAACTGTGCTTTCTCTCCAGATGGTAACAGATAACAAGGTTGGAAGGTGACCATGGAGGTCCTCTAGTGCAATCCCCTGCTCAAGCAGGAGACCCTATACCATCCCAGACAAATGGTTGTCCAATCTCTTCTTATGAAACGAAGATACGAAAAATCCAGAATTATTGAGGGCAGCAAAACTATTTTCCTCGATTGGATTGAAAACTGCTGGAATCTAGTTTTTAAAAGCTAACTTGCATTCCAAAGTGAAGAAGTTTCCATTTATCAAGTTCATGTCCTGCCTGGGAACACAAGTTGGTATGCACAAGGCCACTAATTTCACCCCCAAAGGTACAATTCAGTTAAACAATGTTGGGTTAAAATGAGTAATTGGTCCCAGGCTGCTGTATAAATGTTGTGGTCCCTTGGCTCAGCATCTTAACTATGACTGGATCCAAGCTCCCAAATTGCAGGACTTTTAAGCACATCTTTACTCTAGTTGTGTCTGCGAAGCACATCTTTTTGTCTCCAGATCTAACAAGTGCATTTAGCCAGTCAGAAACAAGACAAAAGATCTTTTCATTTGTAATCTCACCCTTGTGCCATTCTATCGCAACTAAAATACGTATGGAAATTTTAAACAAGCTGTAAAGATCTGATGAATTAATACCTTGGACACCAGGATGGCAGTTCATCAGTTTGCAAAACAAGAGGGGGGAATAACTCCTTTTTGTATGATTAGGCTATGATATTATTAGTATCATGATTGTCAAAGAATAATAATTGTTTTGAATGTCAATCTTGGAAGAGCAGGAAAGAGAAAAAAAGCTAAAGGGAAAGGAAAGATGGTTGTAATCAAGGCTGGAGAAGGAAAAGGGGGGGGGGAAGTAGAGAAGAAACTGAGTTATTGGGGGCAGGGAAAAGTCAGAGAATGAACCTCAAGCATGAACTAAAGATGCAGGATGTGGAACCTGAAGCCTGATTCACTGGAGACGCCATCTCAGCTATTCACAGCCCTCAAAGGGCCCTGAAATGGCAGGCTGGTTTGGTGGACTGGAAAGGCAGACTCCGCGGAGGGCACAGGTCTCTTCAAGACTCCACACAGATGAGGGCATCTGGACAAAGGGGCCATTGAACAATCAGGCTGGGGGAGGGAAGCCCAGGGTTATTCAAAGGCTATGAACTGGGGTGGGGTGTGTGTGGGGAAATGGGGAGACGAACGGCAATTTTGCCTTCTGCATTAACCTGCCGGGAACCGATAGCCAAAAATTGCTGAGGCAAAACCAAACCAAAACTCACAGGAAACTCAATGGTGTTGAGTGTTCAAGATACCACACATGTTTTAAGATTTCTCTCTGCCAAACTTTTTACTTTTTACTGGAATTGCCTGACAGTTCACTGTTGAACTCATTCAAGGGTCTCAATATCTGGTTTAAGAAGGGCAAGTGGGGGTCAAAGAGCTGAAAATGCAATCAACATTGTCTGTGTCCATGCATGCAAAGTCTGCCATAGTTATGACTCTTTGCCCCATTGGCTTTAGCTGCCCCTTCTAATAGTTAAATTAAGCTGTACCTGTGCATAATATCATCTTATCAGTTTTCTCTTTCTACCCTTGGCTTCCCTGATATCTCTTTCAGACTGCAACTTTCCTGACAGCCAAAGCTCGACTGTACTCTTAATTATTCATTAGCAATGGGTTACAAATATCGGTAATAAAGCATTCGGCCTGTTATTTACTCTCTTCCATCAGCGTGGAAGTGCTTACCAATATCTGCAGCTGTTCAAATGGTAATTTACTCATTTGTGCTGCAGCCTGTAACACTCTTGCAAGATAAGTCAGTAATATATATGAGACTCCATAGTGAAGATAAACGAGGTACAGCGAGGAGGCTGTGTAGCTTGCCTACGTTTATCAGGTGAGTGACTTAGAGCAAAATTCTGAACTGGGGGCGTCTCAGTTTACAGTTCATGTCTTCAAAACTATGCTGAACAGCCAAAGCTTTTAATTCACTCCACAAACTTCTGGGTAATCCCTCACCTGAAAGGAGCTTCTTCCTGGGGAAAGTCTATATAATAGCGAATGAAAAATCTTTCAGAGTCTTCTCGTTCTCCGTCCATTATGACACTTCCGTTCAGCTTGGTGATTGATGGTAGCCTGCCAAAGAGAAGAAGAGAAAATGTTAACAGCTGAGCAAGGGGGGGGGAAATCCCCAAATAGTCAGCAGCAAATATTGTCTTTTCAGTAGATTCCTGCAGAATCTGACACCCAAAAATATAGCTGTCAGGGAAATTGCATTTTTATTGGGCTCCATACAGAGAGGAATTGATTTAAAATTGTGCATTACGACTTGATTATAAATATGTCTGACAATTTTCTAAACGCCTTCCTTCTTGTGGACTTTCCAAGGCATTTTATAAAATGTTGGTAACTTAAGAAAAGGTTGTAGAAATTTGCTATGTATTGCTTTCTCATTCTGCAGTATTTATATGTGTGTGTGTTTGTGTGTGTGCCTGATTTTCTGTAATTCCTGGGTTAGTCTTGTCACTTCAATCATTCCAGATTGAGAATATGAATAGAAAGATAGCTGGCTCTCAGGGACTGAAAGGACAGCATTCAGGCATTTTAAATTCTAAAGAAAATAACGAATGCGAAATTGCAGAATATGGGATCAATTTTTTTTTCTTTTAAATTGGCACAGCTAGTATGTCAGACCACGGTTCAAGCAACTGTCTCTAAACTTCTCAGCAGTTAATTTAACATCTGTCATCAGTGGCTTCAGTGAGATTTCAGTACAGATGATGCAATGGACATATTCTCATTGCAAAACATAAAATGTACACCAGAGGGGAAGACTTCCAAGTGAGTCCACTGATAGGGTCCTCTCTCTTTACCACTGATTGACAAAGACCTATCTCAGTTCCTGTCCTTAGACAGGTTGAGCCATCTCCCTGCCGGCCAGTGTAAAGTGAGACACTGAAGTGCAAGTTAAATGACTCATCTGAAATTAGGGCCTTACTGAAGTCTTGTTGATTCTCCCTGACGCCCCAGGCTAGTGAGCAAGGAAGGAAGGGATCAATTTTAGTGCAAGCGACTGAGATTTTTTAAAATAGGAAATGGTAGATAATGATTTTAAATAAATAAATGTGCAGTATCTGCAGTATAGCAAACATTAAAAATACCAAGTTGGCAGGCTTGGGAATCAAGCAAAAATTCACACAAGGGCTCAACAGTCTCCAAATACAATAGATCTATGATTTTTCCACAGCTATTACTTGTAGTCCTATAAAATAGGGCTACTTAAAGAGGTCTGCCAGTCCACTGCCACTTATACAGGTAGTCCTTGACGTACGGCCACAACTGAGTCCAAAGTTTCTCTTGCTAAGCTAGGCAGTTGTGAAGTGATTTTTGTCCCATTGTGTGACATTTCTTGCCACAATTGTTAAGTGAATCACTATAGTTGTTCAGTTACTAACACGGTTGTTAAATGATTCTGGCTTCCCCATTGACTTTGCTAGTCAGAAACTCACAAATGGGGATAACATGCAACTGTCATAAATATGAGTCAGTTCCAAGCATCTGAATTTTGATCATGTGACCATGGGGATGGTACAACTGTCATGTGAAAAATGGTCATAAGTCACTTTTTTATTCTGCTATAACTTCAAACGGTTACTAAACGAACTGTTTTAAGTCAAGGACTACCTGTATTACATGGACCAATTTTAATTCACAACATAGGTCCCCCCCTTTATCTTTTTTTTTATTCACTCGTAAAACTATGAAGTTACAGGAGTCCAATATCTTTCAATTTCCTCTCTCAGACTGAGCACCTCAGACTCAAATCACACATTTTTTTAATGGGATTAAGGCTGGATCTACAATAAAATCTCCAGACCTGGCTATTACCAGCTTCCTCCGCTCCTCAGTGGTGTACGGCTGAAGGAGAGGGATTCCCAGCAACCTCACTTCCTCAAGCTTAGGGAAAGAATTGAGTTTGTCAATATCTTCCCAGGAATGCAGACCTGCTTTAAAGAAAGGAAAGGCTCAGGCGAGGAAAATAGACAAAAGGTATAACATATTATAGGTCTAAGTCAGTGGTGGCGAACCTATGGCACGCGTGCCAGAAGCGGCACTCAGAGCCCTCTATGTGGGCACGCGCGCCGTCGCTGGGTTTTATAAAACCTTTTCGCTTTAGGCCTCCGCCGCCGTGTACAAAAAAAAAGGTTCAATCAGTCAATTTCAACTTCTTGCGGGAAAAAAAAGATCTTGCAAAGTTGGAATTGATTGATTGAACTTTTTAGTCCCACCCAGTCTGCTGCTATCACCGCAGCCATGCCCACCCAATGGGCCACGCCCACCCGGCACCCAATGATGCATAAGTGGGTTTTGGATTGTAGTTTGGGCACTTGGTCTCTAAAAGGTTCGCCATCACTGGTCTAAGTTGTGCTTGTGTGAAAATTATTTGCAGGCCAAAACTAGATGAGGAACAGAACAGAAAAGCAAATGGCTCAGACTGCAGGCAGGCACACATTTTCAAACCTATCTCTATTAAACATCTCTCAAATGTAATAGAAAATTACTGTTACCGGGGAATCATATCTGAACACAGATTTCTCCGTGCCTATCTTATACTTATATGAATTATATTATTTTTTAAAATGTCAGCCTTTAAAAGTTAGATTATTTTTTGGAGTTGTTCAATTACTTTCATCTTCTGAAAATAACATTTCATTTCTACCTTTGTCTGCTGCTCCAATGAAGCTGGTGATTAATTACTGAAAGAGACTGATATATTTTGGTAGAAACGCAACAAAACCTTATATATACATACTAGATTAGATTTCCCATCTCACCTCTGGGAAGTTTTGATTTATGGTATATTCTCGTATTCTCAGCAGTACGAACGTAGTAAGTTAAATAAATCAGTAAAACCCTGTTCTTATCATCCAGTGGAATCACTGAATGGGCTTTCCAGAATATTTACATGAGCAGTTTGGGAACAGAAGCCTGGATAAGCTAAGCCTTTGTTCTGATCCAACAGGCCTCTTATATCCTTCCATTATATTTCATCCAAGGACTCACCTGACTTGTGCAGACTGATGGATCGCAAGTTCGGGAATAGCCTTGCCAGAGAATCCTCTGAGTCTTCAATGGTTGACACACTGTTATTGGCCAGAACCAAAGTATCTAGTGATGGAAACATTATTCCCAGTTTCCGGATCTCAGTCCAGTCTTTGAGATTATTGTCAGTTATGTGAAGCAATTTGAGAGAATTACAACAAGCTGGAGAACAAGACACTGTATTATAGTCGTTAAGGCACAGGAAAAGTTCCTCCAAGCTGTAGGGAGAAAATGCCAATTAAAATAAGCAGCAACATTTCTATGCAATCCAGTTACATTGATTTTAAGGAAAAGACACACTGATGAGCTTTAAAAGATGGGCTATATCACTATTGCTTGCAGTAACAGACAAAACATTCCCAAACATTTCCTACTTGGGGAAAACTGCTGGAAAAAGGCTGTTGCCTTTGTAATCCCATCTCTGGATTTCTGAAGGCATCTGCATTTGGTTAGTTAGCCTGAGAGCAGAAGGATGAATTGAATAAGCTTTGGTCCCACATGAAGGAAAACAGAGTTGCCAAGCTGGACGGAGGCTCTGCCAGACAATCCAGGCCTTATAAAATATGTAACAGAACGTTTAACTGGAAGTTGTCCTGCACTCTCTCTACACCCCCTTTTAGTCTCAGTCAAAAGCCAGCATGTCCATTAGCAAGCTATTTGATCTGATAACTGAAAAACAGAAAGGCAGAACATGGACTGCCTTACTGGCACTATCTGTTAATTTGATAAATTTAGAGATAAATGCACCAAGCAGCTTAGTAGTAGTTCAAAAACACTGTCCAAATGTGGTCTAAAACTTTGGAAGTAGATAGATCTGCGCAAGCCACAAGTGGCTTTGTGATGGATATGCTACTGAATACTTCTTGATGAAAAAAAAGCGATGCAAATAGAAAAATGGTGTATTACAGAACCTACTCTCTCTGCCTGAGCTACTGCAATGCCAGTGTATGGAATTTAAGATATATCAAAGTTTCAGTATACATACACAAACACACACACACACACACTGAATATAATCTATAATCTTTAATCAGTATCTCATACTAATGTCATTATAAGGGAGTACAACTAAATAAGGGAGATTGAACCTCTGGGAACACCATTCAGTAACATGTAAATACAGTTACAGAATGACAAGAAGCTGCCATAATAATTGTAACAGATTTGGAAATCGTGGCTTTTTGTTAAAATCATGTCCAGGTAATCAGATAGGATAGCTATTTGTGGTAGCCAAATGGGCTAGTAAACCTTGCGCTAGCTTTTGTAGAGTGCCTTAACTCCTCCATTAATTTGTAGAGTAATAAATTGATGGAAATATAGCCACTCGTATAAAATTAAAAATAGCAACACACCCAGACATGCATGGAAACTAATCAAGACAGGAGACCAAATAGGGTCAACCAGAATATAGGCAGCGAAATCTGAATTACAGATTTTGTAATGAACTCTAGGTTCAGTTCTAAAATCTACAGTTTTAGGCTGGATTTCCTTTGGAGAGAATTTGAATCTATCAACTGGTGCAAAATGTAGCCATTCAGTAAGATTCAAAAAGTCAAGCAGATAACAGATTTTTGAGGGCCCCGTCCACTACTAGTCTAGAGGAAAGCAATTAGAAGGCCCACTTTTATTTTTTGGAATTTGTGTTTTGAGATTAACTGTTGTGATCCATCTCCTTCCTTAATATCTCGTCAGTTAACTCAAAATCCTACTTCCTTTAGGCTTACTCTGGTAATTCTTGCAGTATAGTGTGGACTGTTTCCCAGGAAGCTTTGCTGTTGTTGAGCACAAGTTTGCGAACACCAGAGAAAGATCCAGCACACCTCCTCTCTAAAATTGACAAATTCAGGGGATTGGAACTCAGGTTCAGAAACTCCAAGTGCGGGACATTGGACACAATTTTACTGACCTGGGAGAGAAAGGAAGAAGGAAAAAAAACCACCTTGTAATCAGATCTCAAATAATATTAAAACCTCCCAGCAACCTTTCCAGTCCACTTCACTGAGTTAAAGAATGATAAGGATTCTAACAGCATTCAAGATAGTTATCTGTAATTCATACCGTAGCCATTTGATGATTTGGATTGATTGGTTAATTGCTTGTTCCCCTCAAAGGTTCAGTTAATTACACCCTTAAAAAGACTTGATAAGGGGAAAAAAAGCAGATACCTGGCAGACTTCTAAAGAAAAAGCAGCAACTATAGAAAAGAAATAACAAGTGCCAACATTTTTCAAAGGACTATTTTATCCAGGGTTACCCATATTTTCTGCAATCTTGTATGCACCAAATACCATTTTAGTAAAGAATTTTGATTCCTGAAATTGATTAATGTTTGGGTTTCCCCCTTTGCAAACAACTTTTTAATTCTTTATATCATTTGGCAATGAAATATGGATGCCCAAAAGACAATAAAACAACTTTTCTTTTTATGGTTTCTTATTATAATTAAAAGCCTTGCCGCAAGGAAACGTGGAGGAAAACACATATACAAACTGCTGGAAAACATTTAGAAAAATTATTGCAAAGTTTTGCGCAAACATGAATCCATTTTTTGAAGACACATGGGCTAACAGAGGGATAACAATAATGAGAGTCAGTGGGATCTATTAGAATTCTTAGCCGCAAAAGCCTTACTGTACAATTCTTCCTGATACTAGAACCCATTTTACCGCCTGTTATAAAAATTAAGAGAATCAAGGAGTTTTATTAACAACTAGAACTTTCCATTTTTAAAATCACATTCCGCCTTCCCTCCAATAGCTTAAGGTGAGTTACACGGGGATCTCATTTCATTTTATCTCCTCAAGAAGCTGTGGATAAGGTCAGTTGGGTTGAGAGAGTAGAATTAATCTGGGCCACGGGTCGGCAACCTGTGGCTCCGGAGCCGCATGTGGCTCTTTGAACCTTCTCCTGCGACTCCCAACCTCCTCCATTTGGAGAGAGAGGGGGAGGTGGGAGAGAGGGAGAGAGCTCATGCACAGCAGCCTCTATTTCTTTTTAATTAAACTCTTCAATCAAACTCCCCCACCGCGCGTGTGCGTGCACATAAGTTTTGCAGCTCCCAGTGTTTTCTTTTCTCTGGGAAACGGGTCCAAGTGGCTCTTTGAGTGTTTAAGGTTGCCGACCCCTGATCTGGGCCATCCAACAAGATTTTTATGAGGGATACGCTTGAAACTACATCTCCCCTGGCCCCGTCCAAACCTCATTCTAATGCAGGCCTTAACAGGCCCCAAAGAAAGAAAAATGACAGCAAAACAGAGAACATCTTCCTCCCTCCCCCTCTTGGATGGTAGCTGAGAGTATGAAACTGTGGAAGCCGATGGGAGCTCTGAAGAGAATCTTCAGAGGAGAGATGAGCAAGAAAGAAAGCTTGAGATTTGGGAGAAGAGCTGGAAGGAGAAAGTACTAAACCTTCCAGATATTAAGTCCTTGGATTACCCCAGGTAAGGACATTTGCTCCAATAATTCCAGATGCACATGTGAACCTATCCGAACAGCCAACTCAACTTGCAGCAAAGACATCTGTCCTTGTTACTACTCAGAATGAAGTTTGCATAAGCTGCTTTACCTCATGCCAGTCTTCTAGTTTGTTGTCAGAAAGATCCAGTTCAGACACATGAGCACAGAAGGCAGCTATCTCCATCTCATCTCCTGCACAGGTGATCCCACAGCTGTTCAACACCAGCACACTTGGCAGGTTGAGACGGTCTGAAAAAGCAGAACCGACAGGATGCCCTTAGAAGGAGTCTCTCGTTTTGTAGAGCAATGTATCACCTGTCCATCCAAGCAAAATCTGATCCAGAATATATATTTTTTAAAAAAGCCATATAAAAATGAGATTCCATTTATGTTGTCTGGTGAACTATACCTGATATGGCTGTTTTTAAAATATACTGTTTTATTATTATGCAGTCAATGATGCTCTTTGCTTTGCTGGGTGAAAGTTGAAAGTGATTCTTAAATACATAAAACTGTAAATTAGAATGTCCTAAGAGCTTATTAAGGTGATTATTTGGTGCAGGATGACATCAAAAAAGTGATCACACGATAAATTGCTCCTATGCATCTTTCTCTAGGATCAACATTTGCAACTGATGAATACCAACCAATGTCCTTGAGCCCTTTTCACAATTTCTTATCATCTACTACCCTAAGGATATCTTCAGTAGGTTCTTCAGGAGTAGTAGTATTGTTTCAGAAATCAGTGCAACCGAATTACTCTGGGGGAAAAATCTAACAAAATAATAGTAACTTTGGAAACAATATGAAAGATGCAAGCATCTAGAAAGATCTTATTTCTTCATATAAAATATAGTTTTCTGGAACAACTGCAATGATTGTCAGCATAAAGGAAAACTAACTTTGCCTTTTTCATTAGGGGAATTGCTAATTAGCAAAAGGCGATGGGTATGCACATTGAATAAGGAAGCAGTAGGCTGCGGCATACACTGTGGTGGTATTTTGCTAGATAGAAGTATTTTAATAAAAACATAACCTTGACTTGGGGCCAAGATAGCTTTTCCATCTTTTTGAGGTATTTGAATGAAGAAATCAGAAGAATAACCAGAAAAGGATTTTTTAAGGTGACTCTGGAAAGGTTAACTCTGAGTGACATACAATACATTTTGTCCCCGACTGACTCAACTTATTTTTGTTCTTTTCTGTCACATTCAGTTACTGTCAATTCCACCCAAATGACCTGCCTGTATTTCCTCTTTGGGAATGTCTGTGATAGAAACCAACCTGACAGGAATTCAAAATCAGAATTGGGGGTGGGGGTGGAAGGAGTCAAGGCACAGTCAGTTCACCCAGAAATTCTTTGCAATCCGGAAAGAAACTCCATTTTCCTTCCATCCCTCTCACAGAAGAGGGAAAAAACAAAGAGTAAACACAATAAGTTTTAATCCAAGCCCTGCTCTGGGGAAGTCAAAAGAAAAAAAACAGCCCAAACCTGTACCTTTCATAGGTGAACCCTGAGGTGTAGCCGGGACATGCACGCCCATTCCGGGACCACGGCGATATGGGAAGTTTTCTGGGCTGTATTTTTCACAAAGAACTTGCATGAAGCTTCTCCCACTGGGTTGATCCATTGTCCCTTCCAGAAATGCTGCGGTTCAAAGGATGGGAAATCAATGCCTTCTTTCTTCTGGCAAACTTAAAACGTATCTTTAGACGAAGCACCTTCCATTTTAATTTGGGTGAAGGAATGTGTTAAATTCACTCAACATTTGGAAAGCCTCGTACAGTAAGGGTGTTATAAAAAAGCAAGTTTACTCAAAAATCAAATGTGAAGGAACTGTTCAGAGTGGCTCTTGTTGAGTTGAAGGCTTAGATCAGGTATGTCCAACCTTGGCAACTTTTAAGACCTCTGGACATCAACTCCGAGAATTCCCCAGCCAGCCATGCTGGGTAGGGAATTATGGGAATTGAAATTCACACGTCTTAAAGTTGCCAAGGTTGAACACCCCTGGCCTAGATATTCAAGCTTGAAAGAAGACATTTGAAATGTCTACAATACCATTGAGGAGCTTATATGAGGCTTTAAAGCATCCTATTGTGGCCACTCAGGAAGGTCAGGACAGGTAAGTGGTATCCAAATGGGCAAAATGAAGTCTGTACAATTTAGCTCCTTTAAACCATTCAAACCACTTTTTTCCTCTTATGGAAAAAAGAGGAACGGAGGGTAACGCTTTGTGAATTTCTGAATTCAGTCACAAAATCTCTGGTGTGGAATATATTCAATACTCAATCAGTACAGAATATACTAATTAGACCAATAAAAAAACTTGATGTAGAATGGTTTCTGATTTGTAGGGCCTATAAACTCATATATATATATATATATATTACACGAACTATTCCCGGGGAAGGAATAACCATAGGGACTCCCATATGATCCCTGACTGTGTAGTTTTGGATGGTGAGAATTCGGAATATGTTGTCACTAGATCAATGTATATCCAGATGGTAAACCATAGAGAAAAAGATGGTCAGATAAGCGAGGGAACTTTACATAAAGAACCAGGAGACGTTACGGGCATACTCTCCCGTCTGAATAGGAAGGGAGGAAAGAGGTTAGATGGGACAGGATATACTGAGAACATACCCCACTATAGTGAGGGAAGAAGTACGGAGACATACATAGAGAGCGTCCCGAGGGGGAATAGAGGAAAGGAATATGAGGGAGTAGGAAAGACGTACGATGTACATAGGGAAGCTGGAGGAAAGGGCAATATGAACTTAGAGGGTGTAATAATTGGGAATGAACGAATTAGGGAGGAAGCCAAAGCGGGAATTGGTAAGGAACCAAGANAGCAGTTGGGCCCCACAACACGATCGAAGGGCCGTGTGCAAAAGATTCCATCCTTATAAAGCACATCTCACATTCGTGGCAGTTTGCCCTGATGAAGCCGGGAGGACCCGGCGAAAGCTTGGCGTTTTATATTTATTAAACCTTTTTATGGTTTCATAATTCTCCTGGTGGGCTCACTTTTTTAAGTGCTATCAGTCATATATATATATATATATATATACCATTTTCTTTTTCATTTTTCTAGTGTGAACAGATGCTGGGCATAAAACATTCAATCTCTACGATATGTCTGTGTTGTTCCAATTTGTTTGTATATGTCAATATTTTACAGATGGGAATAGAAATAACACACAAATTAAGATATCAAAGAATTAATCAACACCAGAGGTGGGCGGAAGGTAAATGTGTGAGTGATGTACAGTAGATCACCCAACTGTTCAACTACAGCAGCAACCAAGTTGTTTCCCTCCATTCCTGGAATTAAAGCAGATGAAGTGATGGAAACATGAAATAAACCCTGCTGGACATTCACAAGATGATTGAAGGAAAAAAGTGTCCAAATTCTTTAAATCTTAGGAGGGTATCTTATGTAAGAAGCTTCAACTGGTGGATTACTTGAACCTGCAAAAATAAATAGTGCAGAATGTTCCCCACTTACACAAGATGGTTATTGTTTAGTCTCAGCATCAGCTTTCTCGGGAGTTACATGTATGAGTTTCAGGGGGTCTTCTTAGCCCTTCATTTTATTTTTCCAGAGGTGGGGAAAAGATCACACATCCATGTAATTCCCTGCACAGGAAGGGGTAAGAGGATGGAAGAAAAGAGAGAACTTAAAACAGCATCAGTGAATTCAACAAACAATGCTGTCTAACCTCGCACACTTTTTCCCCAGGAATCTGACAGCACCTTTTCCAAGTAACATATTTTATTAAAAGCATAAGTTTTTGTAAGCTGCAACTCACGAAAGCTAATGCTTTTGAATAAAATGTGCGAGTCGGAACAAGTGCTCTAACAGACTCTTCCAGAGTTTTATAGTCCAACATGGCTCTTCTCCTACAATCTCAATGTTTTGTGAATAGGAACTAGAACATTTATCCCAGATAAAGCTGTCAATAGTTAGCAGCTTAATCCTCCAGGCAGAATCTGCCCAGCCTACACAGGCAACATTTGGAGGCTTAGGGTTCTCTTCCTGCTTCACAGCAGAGGTTATGTGGACACCAAGGTCATCTATCACAGCAGTGGCCTCCTTTGTTGGAACGGTATGTCCTCCAGAGCTACCGTATTTTCCGGCGTATAAGACGAGTGGGCGTATAAGACGACCCCCAACTTTTCCAGTTAAAATATAGAGTTTGAGCGAGAGAGAGGGAGGGGGAGAGAAAACTTGATGAGTAATATGCCAAACCACATGTGTAAAGGAATAAAATAGAATACCTGTATTCGTCTTATATGCCGGAAAATACGGTATATCCTGTGTTCTGAGTACTTTGCAATGCACTTGAGGCCATATTCTTTAATTGGGCACTTGGTACATAATATGAATGGATTTTGTTGACATTATTGATGGGTTAACATTTTATTTTTGTTTATTGTTATTGCAGAGTTTGGGCTTGAAGGGATTGATTTCTGTATTTTTAATCTTTTTTATGTGTGGACTTGTTCGGCTTGGTGGTGTATATGCTCTGTAAAAACAACTAAGTGGTGATGATAGATTGCTACTTTGCTGATTGAACGGCAGTATGATACTGAAAATTATTTGATCAAAAGAGGGATAATGAAAGAGGTAAAGTATGGAGGACATTTGTTTTAAGGGATTAATATGGCAGGGAGAGGATTTGTTACTCACAGAAATTAAGTCACTGTAGTGATTTACAACCTTCACATGATACCATTATACTAATTACATCTTTTAAGTGGTGCCATTACACAAATTGTCCATGGAAATTTGCTCCATTGTGTGCAATGTTAGTTGTATCAAGGTTTAATAAATGAAGTTTCACTGTACAACAGTGCCATTATGCTCCCATCTAATTAGCCAACAAGGAAAAAAGATTTCAGTATTAAACTTCTCTGGTAAATCTTGCCAGTTTGCAGAATAGTAATACAACCCACAACTGCCTTAAAATCAAAATCAAAAGTGCAATAAGAACATAAAAAAATATTAGTTGGATGGGAAAGCCAACATAAAAGAATGCAGATCTAACTGAGACTCCCCTAAACTAGAATATAAACTTAAAGGGCAAATCCTTTCCTAGTTTTAAAACTGAATCCACAATTTGAATAGCCCAAGGATGTTGATAACCACATTAAGGTTCATGAAATAATTCTGTAGGATCTAAAACCTGGATTTTGGATGCTTTTCTGAAGAAAGATAAACTGCTATATATTAAGATGCTGGTTACTCTACCCCACACCTACACAACTCATCGATGGAAAAAGGGCTACATTGGTAATATTGAAAATTCTTATGTGCTTCAGATATATCAATCAGCTGTTCCAATCAGCTGTTCCATGGCAGAGGAAGCACTAGAGTAGGCTGCAGTAACAGCTCTAATTTTATTATAGTACTTATTTTTTAAAGGCTGCTTGGCAGGTCACATGTAGCCCCCAGGCTGTATAGTATGGAGGCTTGCAGTATATAAGCTTGAAACAAAATGCTTTTAAAATCAAACCTTTTCAAAAAAGGATTGTAGTCTAACAGTTTATTTCAGTCCATTCCAGACATAAATTTCTAAAAGGTCCATAAAGTATTATTTAACATGGAAGTATTCTATAGACTGAACTTTAACAATAGCTTCTGCGCATTAGAAAGGCTTGTCGTATTGATCACTGGATTTATCAAAGTAACCATACTTCAAAACATCAGCAGAAAATAATTCTAAAATGTGGAAACAGAGTAACCTTTGTTCTTCTGAAAAGAAGCGTTTTTAACAAAAGTCAAAACCATCGTGCCTTCTGGAAAGTGGAAGAAAAAATGAAGGAGGGCTTAGACTTGGGGATGGGGAACAGAAATACAAACATGAGTGGCAAAATTCACTGGCTTTTTCCAAAATTTGGTATTATACCATTACCAAGGTTTTCTGAGTACTATATTAATTAATCCAGTTTCCTTCTCTGGAAAAATCAAGCTTCAACTAAGAAAATCAAAAGGTTCCCAGAATGTAACTTAAGTTTTTTTTAAAAAATGTCTGTTATTAAATGCAGATGAGGCATCTGCTAGCTATAAAACCAGTTAATTCTTAAGAAATGCTTAAGATGTGACCCTTTGACAACACTTGCCACAAATATAGCAAAACAATTCTTCCATTTTACTGAAATAAATTCTTTTGGACTTTTTTTTTATTAAGTTATACACTTTCCAAGAGAGCTAAAAGCCAGTGAAAATATTTTCAAGCATATTACACAAGGTGAAGAAAGTCAACAGCATTTAGAAAATACCTTGTCTCTAACAATATTAATGCTTGAATTAGGAAAGCTGTGATGATGAGGACAAGGATCTAGGTACATTAGCTACATATCTGCACTCCTATAAAATAACAATCTTATAATAGAACTCTATTTACTCTCAGGTGATGTTTTATCTTCCAAACTGCCTTTCTTCTAAAGAAGATCTTAAACTGGGTTTGAGATGGTTTCCCACTCAAGCCACCAGAGCTAGGCCTTCAATCTCAGCCTCAATTTGTAAACCGGAATCAAGAAGAAAAGTATTGCTATTAGGAAGATTCAGCAAGATGCTGCCACTTGCCTTTAGTTCGAGATTAAATAAAAACTTTTACCAAGAAACAGATAATACAATCTCACCAGGTGCACCTATTTGTCAATAAATTAATACAGTTAACTGTCAAAGGACAAATATAACTACCTCTCTGCAAGTGTTCTTTAAACCTTAACAGAAAGTTCAAACCTTAACATGGCATCTACTATGAATTGCTTGAGACAGTTTATTTCCTAAATTAACCTGCTCTATACTATGAAATAAATAAGCTCATTTTTTGGTTATGGCAATCTGAGATAATAATAATAATAATAATAATAATAATAATAATAATAATAATAATAATAATAATAATAATAATAATAATAATAATAATAATAATAATAATAATAATAATAAAAAAATTGGAAGGGACCTTGGAGGTCATCTAGTCCAACCTCCTGCTCAGGCAGGAAACCCTATACCATTTCGGACAAATGGCTGTCCAGTCTCTTCTTAAAAACTTCCAGTGTTGGAGCACATTAAACATCACGATGCTACTTACAACAAGAATCTATGCAGGAAATAGTATTTATTTGTCCAATTCCTGATAAAATACAAACTTCAGGGACTCTTTCAAAACTTTTTATCAATAGCTGCCCTGAAGACTCCTGACTGTCATAAGGTACAGATGACATTGTCTTTTTACAGAATTATCTCTTAAGTTTAGCCTAATCTGTATATATCGTCTTCCTGAGGATTCATAGTTTTTTCTAGATCCTTTTATACAATCTGATCCACCAGATTGTATGAATTACTTACTCTGGCAGTGGATTTCCCAGTTTCCATTGAAAAAATTTCCTTTCACCTCTAATTTTTCTAAACAGCATATGGAAGAATTCAACATAAGACATTCTTCATGCAATGCAAAGAGCTCGTCAATAAGTTTGCTTTTTATAAATAGCATCATGGAAAAAATTATACTTGACTCATTTAAATGCTAAAAGCTTGGAAGCATTAAGGTACTGCCTTTCCTGAGAACAGAGGTTGTATACTTCTGAAAACCAGATGCCATGTTCTACATACAGAAACAGAATGATGGACCAGATGGCACAACAGGAGACTTGTGCTTTCCCCCCCCCCCCCAGAGACTTCTGCAACTCCTCTCACATTGCTGAAGGTTACATACTAATAACTCACCAAATTATTCAAGTACATGCTATCATAGTTATGCTCTTAATATTTATTTCTTCAAGGAAATTAACAATTTGAATGGAGATGGAAAGGAAACCACAGCCATGTGATTCATTACTAAGAAATACAGAAGCATGTAAACATATGAAGAACAGTTGCAGGATTTGGGAATGGCCCGTCTAGAGAAAAGAAGGACTAGGGGGGACATGATAGCATTATTCCAGTATTTGAGAGGAGGAGGGGATCAATTTATTTTCCAAAGCACAAGAAGGCAAGACAAGAAACAATGGATGGAAACTAATCAAGGAGAGAAGCAACCAGAATTAAGAAGAAACATCCTAACAACAAGGACAATTAACCAGTGGAACAGCTTGCCTTCAGACGTGGGTGCTTCATCACTTGAGGTTTTTAAGAAGAGACTGGACAGTCACTTGTCTGAGATGGTATAGGTTCTCCTGCTTGAGCAGGGGACTGGACTAGAAGACCTCCAAGGTCCCTTCCAGTTCTATTCTGATTGTGTATTATAGTGTTTTTGAAAAACCTAGAAGACCTTGCTTCAGACTAGAGGGGCCAAAGGCAACAGCCCAATTTTCTGTCACCGTCAACATGTGACAGCCTCAGTCTGTCCCCAAAGAAAATATTTTATCTGTACCAATATATCAATATTATTTTATCCAAAAGGCCTATGGAAAAGCATTAATTTAATAAGCTGTCTCCTAGTCTCATAAAGGCCTTCAGAGGTTAACAAACCAAAAATGAAGGTCAATGGCAGGGTACCTAAATCAATCAGACTGTGATAATTTATTTATTTTTTTTAAAAAAGAACATCTCTATGAGGGTTTTGTTTCCCTCCAATAATCA